ACTTTGAGGAAATATGCCTTGTCGCCTGAAATTTTAAGAGATTAAGCTGTAAGTTGTTGACAGATACAGACAGGTATTAGCAATTTAGTCTTATACTACCCATATCATTTTAATTTTTCTGTCACCACATTTTAGTATCATGATGAAGCAGATAAATGAAATGCTCATACCTAAAATGTGTATTTTGAAGTTAAGATTCAGTTGTGTGAACAAAAAATGTAAAAGAAAGAGAGAGAGAGAGAGAGAGAAGATTCAGTTGTGTGGATACTTTGACAGTCAAATCCAGCTTTCCCAGATGAACCGATGTGTAAATGCTGTATCTTGTAGTACTTTTCCTTCAGTAGCTTTTCATACATTTTTAGTTGATAAAATTTTATTTTTATTTATGTCAATTGGAATTAAATTTAGAAATATTTCCGTCTCAAATCATATATTGTTGTGACCTCTTCACTCCTTAAAGGCATCTACTTTTCATTCAGACATAATTTGGGACAAATGTGAATTTTAGCAAAACTGGGTTTGCCTTAGTCTTCCCCCATTTATTTATAATTTACTTTGAACATTTTTTCAAATAATTTGCTCACAATTCTCATTCCAAGGCTCAGTTACTGTCATTTGGATCTAAGTTTGTCCAGTACAGAGGAACTGGAGCGCTCTGTGCTGTACGAGTTTGGCATTGGTGTCCCATTTGCAGACTGAGGAGAAGTGGCCAGAGTCCTGAGTGGCAGGAAGGGAGTGAGTGGGAGGGGTGGGGGGAGATGTGGGAGCTGCAGTCCCAGAGGTGGGGGAGGCCAGGTTGTCTAGGGTCCCCAAAGGCCATTGGAATAACCTCATTTTTATTGTGAACTAGGAGTCTATTGGCAGGATTTAAGCACCAAATTGAATATGTGAAGTCTGAACTAAAGCCTCTAATGAGAAAGAGGGAGAATGTTCCACAGGGTGGAACTTACCACCACTCATCCCACCCGCACACCCCTTTCTGTTTGAGACTTCAGTGGGGGTAAAGCTCGGCCACTTCCTAAGAGGGGCAGGGAATGGCTGCTGCATCCAGCCATTGTCTAAGTTAACTTACTGTCAATAAGTCAGGGGAGTCATGCCTTCTGTGTCTTTAACATAAGACAGTAAAGAGGGATGTGTACCTATGGGGAAAAGAAGGTGAATTGAGGTCTGAGGGGACAGTTCTCAAAGTCCATATGTTGGAGTTATATATTATTAATTTAGCTTAATGATAAGGTGACTTAAACATCAGTAACAGAGTTATCTATTTAGGCCTGTGTGAGACGGCTTCAACAAGAACTGACTGACACCCGAAAGAAAGTGTCCATGTTGGAAGCTTCCCTGGAGGTGACAACAGCACATCATCAGACTGATATAGAAAATAAGACACAGGATTTAGAGAGGAAATTAAATCAAATTGCAGACCAAGTATGTATGAAATTAAGCACGTCAGCCGTGAATGTGCAGTGCAGAGTGTTGTAGGACACTAGCTGTTCAGGGACAGCTTTCTTTTGCATCTTCATTATAATTACAGCTTTATTATCTTTATGATGCCCTTGTTTCTTAACTTTGACTCTCATTCTGCCATTTCTTTATATATTTGTTTCTTACAATATTTACCCTTAGAGAAGTTGAAAATTATACATCTTTCCTCACAGAAGTTAACTTTTATCCTATTAAACAGTATTTTTTTAGTGATCTCTCACCACAGTGAGGCAAGCTAGATAATATCAGAGGATAATGTTTCATGACATGGTCCAGAAAATTGGCATGTCTCCTCCTCACTTTTGTGAATGGATATAGAATCTGTGTGTATTGATTACATGGATTTCAGGATAACTTGTGCAGAAAAGTCATTATACAAACCAGTTGCAATTAGGCATTGCCTTAATTTCCTTTTCACTTTAGAAGTGTTGTAAAAGCATGGAGAAATTCAGATAGTGTAGGTACACCCAAAATAGAGAATTAAGAAAATGGTCTAGATCCTGCCTTTGGATTTTTTTTTAACTTTATGGAGATATAATTCACATATTATAGGGAGGACTGCATAACTCAAGTGGCAGAGCGCATCCTAAGCATACACAAGGTCCTGGGTTCAATCCCCTGTGCCTCCTCTCAGAATAAGTAAGTAAAACCTAATTACTTCCCCCAACCAAAAAAAAAAAAATTCACATATCATAGAATTCACCCATTTAGGATGCATAGTTAGTATCTCCTTGATTATTCAGAGGTGTGCAATTGTCACCACAATCAATTATAGAACATTCCCATCACCCCAAAAAGAAAGCCTGCATCCCTTAGCCATCACCCCCAGCCCACCATCTCCCTCAGCCCCCAGCAACCACCAGTCTGATTTCTCTCTCTATAGATGTGCCTGTTCTGGGTGTTTCACATGAATCACATGCTGTGGGTCCTTCATGATTAGCTTTTTTCATTTGACGTAACGTCTTCAAGGTTCACCCATGTCATAGTACTTGTCAGTATTTCCATTTCTGTTTATTGTCAAACATTACTCGGTTGTGGGGCTAAACCATTTATCCACCCATCAGTTGATGGACCTTTAGGTTGCCTCTGCTTTTTAGCTATTGTTAATAATGCTGCTGTGAACACTTCTGTCCAAGTTTTGGTGTAAACATGTATTCATTTCTTTGGGGAATAGACTTAAGAATGGAAATGCTGTCATATGCGTCATATGGTAACTCTGTGTAACCTTTTGAGGAACTGCCATAGTGTTTTCCAGAGTGGCTGCACCATCTAACATTTTTATCCAAAGTATATCTTGCTCCCAATTTCTATGCATTCCTGTCAACGCTGGACATTAGCTCTCCTGGTAGGTGTGAGTTGGCATCCCCTTCTGGTTTTGATTTGCATTTTTCTGATGACTAAGAATGTTGCTGATCTTTTCATTTGCTTATCCATTTGTGTATCTTCTTTGAAGACCTGTGTGTTCAGGTTTTTGCCCATTTTAAAATTGGATTGTCTTTTCATGATTGAATTGTAAGAGTTCTTTTTGTATCCTGGGTGCAAATCTTTTATCAGATGTAGGATTTTCCAGTGCTGTCTCCTGGTCAGGAACTTGCCTTTTCACCTTTTGACAGTGTCTTTTGAAACATAGAAGTTTTTAATATTGTTGAAGTTCAGTTAATTTATTTCTGTCTTTTACTGTTCTATCTAAGAAACAAGTGCCAGATCCAGGCATGAAGACACACACCTGTGTTTTCTTCTAACAATTTGTAGTTTTAGTTCTTTCAAGTTAATTCTTACATATAGTATGAGGTAGAGGTCGAATTTTGTTCTTTTGCATGTGGATATCCAGTTGTCCCACACCGTTTGTTAAAAAGACTATTATTGTCTCATTCAGTTACTTGACACTCATATCGAAAATCAAATGACCGTAAATGTGAGGGTTTCTTTTAGATTCTCATTGGTGATGCATTGATCTATGTCTGTCCTATGTCAGTATCAAGTCAGATGTTATGAGAACTCTTTCCGAGTCATCTTGCACATTAGCAGTTGTTTTACATAAAAATAGAAAGTCAGTGTAGAGGAATGTCTGTACCTCTACTTC